CCGCACCTTTCCCCCGCTCCACTCCCCCTGTGCCCTTGCTGTTGGCCCACCCGACCTCTGGTAGTTATCTGGAGGCTGTCTGATGATCTTTGGCGGTTATCTGGGGGCTATCTGACGATATCTGAGGCTATCTGGCATGGTGCTATCGGGAAGCTATCTGGTGCTATCTGGGGGCTATCTGGTGCTATCTGAGAGCTATATGAAGGGCTATCTGGGGGCTATCTGAGGTGCTATCTGAAAGCTATCTAGAGACTATCTGAGGCTATCTGGGGGGGCTATCTGGAGGCTATCTGATAGCTATCTGGGGCTATCTGAGGGCTATCTGGCGGATATCTGAGGGCTATCTGGAGTGCTATATGAGAGCTATCTGGAGAGCTATCTGAGAGCTATCTAGAGGGCTATATGAGAGCTATCTGGAGTGCTATCTGATAGCTATCTGGAGAGTATCTGGGAGCTATCTGAGGGTTATCTGCAAGGCTATCCGTAGGTCAGCTGAGTGTTATCTGGATGTTATCCAGGTGTCATCTGGGAGCTATGCGTAGGCTATCTTGAACGACTGTGCGGATGGTTATCTGTGAGATATCTGGATGCTATCTGGTAGTATCTGCGAGCTGATAGCCTCGGGCAGCACACAAACGATAACGCCAGCTAACCTCTAGATAACACCCAGGTAGACCTCAGGCAATCAGGTGTTTCTGTGCTCCTTGTTGTCTGCATCGGTCCTGTCGGTCGTGGCTGCGCAAGGCCAGGGCTGCAAAATTGCGTGCGCGAGCGGGCGCGAGCACCCTGGATTGGCACGGCAGTAGCAAAGCACACGAGCAGAAGATGAATGAACACAACACCCTCAAGTGTTCAACATACACCGCGTGCTTTCAATATATCTGAATACCCTGGCCTCGCTCGAGCAGCTCTCAAGAATTGAGGGATGAAAAAACGCCCCTACCCTGGTTTACAAGTGCGCGGTCTGTAAACCTCCTAGGAGCTCCCAAAAGCAAGTCGTCCAACCTGCCAGCGAATCCCATCGTCATCGCACTCGGCGCCCTGCGGCGACCACTGCAATGGGTCGAAACGCTGGGGATCGGATGGCGCATTCCTGTCCGTTTTGCACGGGCACGTGCGAATAGCAGCGGGCACGCGCGCTGCAGCAGTGAATGCAACTTTGGGGCGTGGACCAAGATGTCTACGATGAGAATGACGATAATGATGATGAGGACGAGGGTGGGCATGGCAATGACACGCGCAACACATGGTGGGCAATGGCTGCCCCCTGTGGTCCTGCTAACCTTCGGGGCGTGGTAGGTTCGTGGATATCTCACGCGCACGCCTTCTTCAACTACGGGAGGACGTGTGCTCTTTCCCCGCGCGCCCTGTCCCAAGGCCTTATGAGGGGGAACACGAAAGGTTAGATCACGCAAAACGGCCCAATGTGGGCCCCCCGAATTGGCCATAACCACACAACCCAAAATGGAACCACATAGTTAGCCCAAAACGGAAACCAATGCGGCCCGCGCTGACTCCATGCGGCCCCCAACACGCTTCCAAAGAGGCCCCGACATGGCTCCAATGCGGATCTGGCCACATCGCCTCCCGCAAATACCCCCCTAATGCCCAAATCACTCAAACACCGCGTGTTTCAACTGATTTTGTGTTGCCGTTGCTTTCGCTTCCGGCGCGCCTGCGAAGCTCCCAGACGGTCCGGCATCGCCCAGAAGAGCCCCCATCAGGGACCAGCACAGCTCCGAAACTGCCCCAATAACTCCCAATGACGCCCCAATGACGTCCAAAGGAGGCCCAAGTAAAATTTGCCCTGACTCCGACGGAGCAGCCCTGGGTAAATGTGCCCCCTCTTTGATTCGAAGCCCACCAAGATGGCCCCGACAGTGGCCAGGGCCACCGAGATGGCCTCAAGAGAGCCCTAAAACACAACGCCTCGGACCCCAACGGATCCCAACAAAAATTTCGGGCGTCAGCAAGCGCCTTCCGCAAGGCTCCAATCCGCTTCTGAAATCACCGACGCTTGTGCTCCTGTTTCCCTATACGATTGTCTACGTAACTTTTCCCGATGCATTTCCTCAGCGTCGTTTCTGCGTGGGCTGGCGGGGAACGCGAAGCGTCGAACATTTACACGGCCATTCCTCCCCGTGGGTTTTTGGCTCAGGCCGCGTCGATCACCGAGCGAGCTGACGCGTTTTCAACGCGACGGCCCAGTCAGAGAAGAGCTGCAACAAGGAAGGCGAGCAAACATCAACATACAGACGAAGACGGGGAGGAGAAGGAGCAAACGCACCAGCAAGAGCAAGAGCAAACGGAAAAGGAGAAGGAACAACCGCCGGCCGCAAACGAAACGAGGGAAAGGATACAATATTCTGATAAAGAGGAAAAGGGGGCCGAGAGAGGGAAAAGCGAACAAAAATACAGAAAGGGCGTGGACAAGCGGGGCGAGAGAGGGCGGGCACGAGTGAGGGGAATAGATCAAGTAGAAGGGGAAGAAAAGACGCGAGGCGCCATGGAAGGGCGGAGGGAGCAAGGTAGCTTTCAATAAGGAGTAAGGAAAGGAAGGGGGCATGCTACTGAGAGATTGCCTTACGAAATCTCGAGAACCCACTTATCCGTCGGATGCAAAGCGTCGTGGATCTGGATGGCGTAGCCGAGCGCCATCTTCGAGGCGCCGCCGACCCCGTAAAAATTGAACGAATAACTGCGGATCAGGCGGCGGCCCTGGAACAGCCGCCACCGGGAGTTCCAGGAATCATGCCACACGCGGAAAGTGGGTGGCATTACTGCGTTCAAAGCATCAGTAGTGGTGGAGTCATCGATCTCGATTTTGGTTGGTTTCTTTGCTTTTTTCTTGGCAGGCTCACCGTCCTTAAGCTCCTTCCTTTTATCGACGTAGTTCTGGGCGAATTTAGCTTGCTCCTTGAAAGCGTTGGTTTTCGCCTCCTTGTCTTTCTGCAGCTCTTTCCTGTCATCTTCCATGAGGATATCCTCGGCGCCGTCGCTGGTCAAGTACGCCTCGATCAAAGACGGCGTGTGGATGCGTTGCTGCATGATGTCCACCAGTTCCTCTTCCGACTTGGTGGGCAAAACGTGGTGCAGCAGTTTGAAAAGCCGCGTGAAGAGCGAGTCCTGGCCGCCGAAGGGCGCCCCGATGTGCTTCGCGAGCTGACCCAACGCCACGCTCGGCAGGTCGGCAAACGCCTGCAAGGCCAAAGTCTTCAACAATGAGTTTTTCTCCCCACGAGGGACTGCAATGCACCCGAGGCCGTCGACGACATGTGACGTTTTCATCAAACAATGGACTCCCGAGTATCCAACCCAATCGTATTCCATGGCCTCCCACTCGCCCAAATCGAGGACGTACCTCAAGGTATCCGCAGGCTTGGTGTCCACCCCCATGGTATAGCACTTGACTTTGCCGATTCTATGGTGGACGGCAGGCCACACTAGAGCCACGGACCCGGCAAGGCTGCCGATGGCGAAAGCCCATTCAGGAGACTGACCGCGAGACTTGCAGCGAACAAGAAGCCGCTGACCTCTGAACAAAG